GCAGGACAGCCCTGTATGAAGTGTCACAGGTGAGCAGTGCGTGGGAAGATATGTGGTAACACGGTGGGGAGAGGATAAGGTCAGGGCGGATAGCGGGTTCTTCTGGGGGGTTGGGGGTCTCGGTCGGGCTGGGGCCTTAAGAGGTACCTGAGCCCTGGGTGGGTATGGGGGCTGGAATGGTTTGGTTTTGGCTCACCTGTGGCTACTGCCAGGTTCGGTACGTTCTGGATATATTTGTTGCATCTTGAAAGCGTGGTCAGGACAAAGGGTTGCTCCTGGGTATTTCCCTGGGATTGAATATAGATGAGTGGCAGAAAAGTAGGGAGTGAAAGGCTTGCCCTAACTGTCTTAATGGGAAAGAAGCCTGTGTACCCCTATGTGGTTGCGAGCTATGCTGGCGATGGTACATGCCTTCAGTAAGGTCACCCATGCCAGACAGGTCAAAACCCTAGGGTCAGATTCAATATATTCATGGGCACGATGAGCTTGCTAGCCTTCTGGCAGTCATCCTAGGAGAAGGACAACTCTAATTCCAAATCCGGGCAGATGAAACTCGCTTCCCTCCCTAATAGGGAAGAAAGAAATAGCATACAAGCAAAGCTAAAACATTTGCACATACAGGCATATTTTGCCCTGAACACCAGGGATACAGCTCTCTACAGAAATCATAGCTGCTCACATGTCTGTTTCATCTTTCTTACCATTAAAAAGAGCCCTTCAGTTCTGCAAATATACAAGAAAATGAGTGTTCTCTGCTTCCTCAGCCAGGTTTTTTGCTTCTGATCTGCCTTCTCTCTTGCTAAGAAAGGATATTTCACTCTCTCTATCTGCTTCCCTTCTTTCAAAACATTACAGAACTTCTTGCCAGGCAGCTATTCCTAGTTATCAAGTTCCCAGTTAGATGATTTGACAATCAGTAATGATATAATGCATTTTTCCTCTTTTGAGCAGGGTCTGCTTTATTAACTGTGTCCTTATAATTAGGTCCATCATAAAAGAACACACAATCTATGTAATACAAATTTTATCAGGAACACACACACTAAACTTCCTAAAAATCCCAAACTCATTAAGAACATACTTAATTCAAAGCATCAGTTTCCAGTGATAAATACGTAGCCCTAAATTAACTGAGACATCAGGATAATGTTTAAATAGATTAATACCACTTCTACCCAAAACTACAGATTCCCTTTTTCCAGTATCAAGTAATTATAATACCTGGACAGGTTTCCTGTTTGTTGTTTAAAGTCATTGGTAAAACACAGATGATCGTGCAGCTGCTAAAACATTGATCCATCCCAATCACATTTGACCTGAGCCTCTTCGAGAATACAGCTGAGAACTCTGGGATGATAAAGTTAGAATCTACATTTCCCAAGATGTCACTATTGTGGCTACATTTTCCCATTATTTTATTCTAATACCACAGAGTACATGTCTCCTGTTGCTTCATGGAAAAAACATTTACATACTGGCCAGAGAGAACTAAAAAGAAACACTTATTTTCCACTTATATTCTCTATCCACAATGCAGGTTGTTGTCAAACTGCCTGGTCACATAAAGTGAACAGAAAAACGAAAGGATTAAATACAAAGCAGTACAGTGCAATCACAAGGCTGTAGTCTTTTAACACTATCTTACTAATATATCTATGTACCTGCATCTGTAAATATTGGGGGGGGGTTATTTATTTATTTTATCTGTAGACGCTGAAGGCCATTAGATAATGAAGAGAGAGAAAAGTTTTCACTATTGCAAATGAATGTAAACACACAAAGCAACATAATCTGTGCATGGAAAGCAAGGATAGGAGTTACAAGAAACCTTTGCTTGCAAGAGATTCAACCCATCCTGAATACCATGAGCCAACTAAACATAAAGTAGCTTTTTCTTTATCCAAATGTATCACTTTTTTACTTAAGTGCAATCAAGTAAGTCACATGCACATCATATAAAATAACAAAAGACTCCTTTAGAGGATGTGGCTTTATGTGCAAGAAACAAACACAGTATCACTTGTTTCAGCAGTATGTCCTCTAATGCCTACATCTCTCCATGGAACTGCACCAGTAATACTTTTATAACAGGCAACACAAATTACTGCAAAACATAAAAGTTGACTGAAGTTATACTTACTGTAACTTGGGAAGCATCCATGAATTGCAGACCAAAGTAATCAGTTTCCACAAGGTCCAAATGATACACAATCTGGTCAAACAACTCCTGTCCCTTTGCATTTTTCTGTAACAGAAAAGAAAGTGGGTTTTTTTATGGGTCAGTGTGGATTTGGGTGTGTTTCTTTTTAAGTTCGAATGGGTGAGAGAAGATACACAATGGAAAACAATACCTAAATAGCAATTCTATTTATCCTGTAGAATTGTATTGACATTTCTTTTTATTTCCCACAGGAAAGATAGAGTGCCACGCTGTTCCTGTCTGCAGCTATTCCAACAGCATCAGATTTCCCTCTCAAAGAAAACTTTCAAAGTTCACTGTAACTAAAAGTGTATGAGAGAAAAGAAAGGCTTATGTTCTGTAAGTGTCCTGAGTCACAGAGCCAACATTTTAGACTCCAGGAAGACAGATTCTCCAGGAAAAGCTTGCTTGACACACTGTCAGAAATCTGCTGGCTGTTATCACGTATCAACTGCAGTCATGAAGTGCCATGCCACCACTGAAGCTGCAAAATAAATTCTGGACTGCCAGAATACTTGAAGAGCACGGTGAAGAAAATTAATGAGATATGATAAGAATCTTCCATGTATGTTGCTAATTGCAATCACATTTACAGCCTTTAAACAACGAAACAAAACAGGGCCAAAAAAAGCTGTGATTCTTACTTGCCATGCCACCTGAAACTCACAGGCGTTGAAATAAAACTAACCCCAACTATCAGCTACAGGTACTAGGACAAAAGTTAGTTGATCTTAAAGCTAAGCTGCACTGGCCTGTGTACTTGTTCTAAGGTCAAGGCAAAAATTTAGATACCCAGTTCTTCAGCACTAGAAAAGTAAAGCTTGGAGGTAGCTTTGTTTTCTAGTTTTTGCTTTATAGTGCTTCCTTTGGTGGAGCTAAAACCAAAGCTTGGTGGGTAGGAGGAAGGAGCAATAAGAAACAACCGTAAATCCCATTGTGTTACTTGAGGAAGGAAGTGTTCAAGTTCTTGAGCAAAAACACCCCTTGGCTAAAAACATAAGAGACGACCATAAATCTGAGCACAAGACTGAAGCTACAGTTTTATACAAGGATCTACTTTTGTGACTGCTGCCCCTCATACACCTTTAAGAATTTCTTTTTTCAATTTTTATTTTTTAAAGCTCTAACATATTAGGCATTTCCACATCATCCCAAAATGTAGCAAAATTCACAAATTTAAGCGTTCAGTTCCTTTTGTTTGGTCTTCTGCACAAAAGCAGCATCAAATATAACATGCAGGTTCAGGGTTCTAAGCTGTCTAAAATCTGTCCACCAATAGACAAGATGAAGTGTTACATCTCTATTTTTTCCAAGAAGGTCATGCAAGCTTAAGTGTAGGTAGCAAATTTTATTCAAGTTGAATTTTGGGGGTTTGGTGTGGTTTTGGGGGTTTTTTACTAATGAAGCAGAAGCACAGAAATTCAATCTTATCAAATTTCAGGAGCAGCATTAGGAGCTCCATTAAAATAAGCTGCATAAAAACTTAAACATTAAATTATCATTGTAAGATACTGTTTCATTATTTTGGAGGGGCAGGAGGTGGATAGTAGACACTTTTAACCAAAGTTCAACATTCTATTGAAAGCAGATGAGAATACAATGGTTTCCTAAAACAGTACATTGCTATGAAACCATCGTCTTTACTTGTACAACAGTTACTATAAACTGAACAAAAGTATCCAGAACATATTTTCCCATATGGAGTAATATCAGCACTTGTTAACAGAAGTCAAACCAAAGCAGAACAAATTTGAAACAGATTCTGCTTAAATGAGGGAGGATAAAGCCCTGCAAAGCAATAAAAGGAGAAACAGCAGAACGCGAGGAATTCACAAATCTAGGGAAAAGAGATTTGATGCCCTACAATTACTGTACTCATGGGTGTTTGCTTTATGGCATTAACTACCAGAACATGTTTATCTTCAACAGCCACACACCCAATAGAAACCAGAGAGAGCATACTCCACCTTCTGTATCCAAACAGTAGTTAATGTGTAACATGTTTTACATGGAGAATAGCTCTGCACTACACGGTTAGACCATAAAATGCAGTATTACATATAATCTCCAATAAGTTATGTAACATTTAACTTGTCATTAAATGAGCTTTCCCACTTAGATGATAGAGTGGTTGCAGTCAACAAATTGCTGACAAAAAACTTTGAGATGGTACACTACGGGGCAGATAAATGTGACTAATTCATTTCCTCTACTAAAAGTAAAGGATGACCAGTTCTCCTTCATTCTGCCTCTTCACTGACTGACAGTCTAGGGAGTCGGATTGTGGACTGATAAATTCACACCTATGCACTGAATGAAACGGGTGGTACAGGCAAAATAGCAGTCTTTTTCCTTAGGAATTAATATCCATGGTAGTGATCTCTAATGCAAAAAATGTCCATATGACAAGAAACTTCAAATTTTCACTGTCTTTTTCTTCTTTCTTCCTTCTAGACAAAAGAGAAGCTAAAAAAATACTTACTCTTTCAAAACCTGGTACTACATAAAGACTGAAAATTATTTCATACAACAAAATTTTTATTAATCTAATCATCTGGAATTTAATGCCTTTCTCTACAGACCTTCGACTTGTGCATATTTTCTGAAGATACATCTAAAAAAACCCAACCATAAACGACAAATATTTTGCAGTTCTACCTTGCTAGACAGATGGTTCAGAACTGTCAGATGCCAAAGACCTGCAAAAGTTACATCTCAAAAAATGAAGTATATGGCAACAAACAATATACATATACTATTAAGTAGAGTAATAACTTTGTTATGAAAGTTACTATAATTGGAAACAGTGATGTAATAAAAGTTGCAAAACCTTGTTTGGTTTTGTGGGGGATTTTTTGTTTGGGTTTGTTTTTTTTTGTTTGTCCTTGCTTTGTTTTTGTTTTGGTGGTAGGTTTTTTTTGTTTTAAAAAAACAACCAAACAAAAACCAACCAACAGTTAAAACAGTTTCTGGGGGAGTGTTCCTTGGAGAACTTGTGTGAGCATCATGAAACCTCACAGCGAAGCACTGGGGGGCTGGGCATGAAGAGTTCCACCTCACAAACAAAACAACAGCTGCAACTTAAGGTAAAACTGAATGAGCGCGAGGCAGACACTTGAAGAAAGACAGAAAGATTGAATTAAACTTGCAGGTTGAGGATCTCTGTGATAATGAGCAACCACTGAAAGAAAAAAAAAAAAAAGGTGTTCCATATCAGTCACCCGTGTCTTGTCTGACAATCATGCCAGATTTTCCACTCTGTATCATGGAAGCCCTTCTCAAATAAACCCCCTTCATATCTTCTTTGGGACCATGAGTCATAGCATCAGAGAAAATTCTTACGTTAAATAAGGACTCAGTGCAAATCCTACAAGGACTCCAATGGGCATAAGTATAAAACACCTTGTACAGCCACAGTGACAGCTGCATGGTCCACACTTCAAGTAGGTTATCTTTCTAGTTGCCAGAGACTTCCAGTCTCAGGGAATCCATGGAAATTATTGTCAGCTAAAACATGACAAAACAAAGAATAACTCCTCTAATTAGAAACTCTTCCAGACTGGACACATGAATAGGCAAGAGATTTTAACATGCTTTTGGTGGATGTGAAGGAAAGGGAAAATTGATCAGTCAGGGAAAATTTTACGCCAAGTGGCTCTATCTGAACAAGCTGATTAGTGTTGATTTTAGCTGTTCCAGGGCTAACCAAAAATAAGGAAAAAAAAACCACTGTCAAGAAAAGACTGAAAGCCAATTAACTTTCCAATCAAAGCCACTGAATAGTGAGTAGCAGCAATGAGTATGTAGGGAAGATTTAGTTTCTTTTTTGAAAGAAAGCACTGAATTATGTATTCTGAAATATGTGAAATATTTTTGCAGAGTGGGCTGCTATGCTTTCATGGCCACAGACCCAAGGCTTTAACTTCTAACAAGTTCTTAAAGGAGCATTTGTAGCCACCAAGTCTCAGCTCCATACTCAGCAGGCCTCATACTGCCCTGCTCTGATGGCACCCAGCATGCCCTCTCTTTGGCATCTCCTGAAACAGAATAGCTCAATATGTTGTGCTCGGTCCTCTTACACCTGAACTATTATTAACTCAGTTTTCAAACCTAAGGCTGTATCTGCTGGCCATACTGCTTAGCAGTGGGAATTTTCTTTGCCTTTTAACAGCCACTGGCAGTGCTGTCTCCCAGCGTTTCAGACAGGCTATACACGCATAAAGCCATCTGTGCTTCTAATTAGCCTTGACTCCTGGTGCTCAGTTATCATCTGTCCTTTAACTTGCTTTCTTCTAGGTAGTCAAGCCCTCAGATTCTCAAACACATTCAGCTGTACTGAAAGCAAGCAGTAGTTCTACAATTCTAAGCACAAAAATGCAACTCTTCTACATTCTTACAAATCTATTCATTAGGTCTCCAGGAAGATGGAAAGGAGAGACACAACCCTCTGCATCCCCTAAGCTTGGTCACTGCAGGGTATATAACTACAGTGAAGTTATCCTTTGGATCATGACTCTCGTAGGCACGTCAGAGTGAGCTCTTAACTAAAGAGCTGCATATTACAACACAACTGCCATGGTATCTAACAGCTTCAGCCAAGCAAGCACTTGAGGCCATGGCTGGGCTGGCAAAACCTGCACTGAAAACGATGTTATCCATCCCATCAATGCTGCCATAGGTAGTACTGTCAAAGATGGCAACATGTTTTTAAATTCCAGTTTCCATGCTGCCATCCAAAGATGAGACCCTGGCAGAGGGCATGCTGCAAACTAGCCATGACCTTGGTACCTGTCTCAGCTTCCTCCTGGGGACCCAATGAGCAGATTCATAAGAATGTAGAGAGAGTTGCATTTTTTGTGCTTGAAGTTATGTAAATAATGCTTACATTTTGTAAATTCAGTGCTAATTGAAGAAAAGCAAGTTATTTCTTAACACATCATACTTCCACGAGGCTGTCTAACTTGCTCAAGCTACATGAAGATATCAAGTTATTTTCTTACCAGCCAACCATTGACTCAAGTTTTCATTTCTGGCTATGAGCTCCCTTGAAAATGTGACACTGTTCAAATAACCACTAAGCCTCTCACCCTGTCATGGCAATACACCAGTACTGCTTCAGTGCTGAATGTGTCCAGAAGAGAACACAAGTGATGACGCATGTGAGCTTTTATCTGAAGGAGAACAAAATTCGTTTTAGCCCCTTTGAGAAATTAGCTGAAAACAAGAGCCAAAATCACCTCAACTTCCCCCTGCACAAAAAACTCCAAACAACAAAAAAATGCCAAATGCATACACACACCACTAAACCCTCAGCTCTTCACAAGAGGATAAAAACATTCCCTGCATGATATTTACTTATTATAACCTTGAAAGAACAAATATTTTGCTCCCAGTCATTTCTGTCAAGGCCCCAAACTAAAATTGCTATTTCATAAGCAAAAATAGCTTATAAGCAAAGTTAAATAACCCCTCAAAAAAAAAAAAATTAAAAAATCCAAACCAAATAAATTCAACCAACAGATCAAGTTGATTCCTTCAGATTACTCTCAAAGTTTATGATAAAACTAAAAGTCTCAAAAACCAGGGCTCTCACAAGTCACATCCTATCAAGGGGATAACTGGGAGCTTCAAATAAGGAAACAGCACACTACCACTTAAAAACATTCTCTGTGTGGGCAGATTGGCACATAATAGTGTAAGCGAGCGGGGTTTCTGTGACCAAGATGCCAATGAGAATTTGTAGACAGACATTAAGAAAAAAAAATCCCCAAACAGTGGGTATAGTAAACCTCACTACTGCTGCACATTAGCATTTCTCAACAGCAGTCAGACTTTCATCTCTCCACCAGCTATTGGCAAGAAGAATCACTGTTCACTGGAGGAGAAGCCAGAACAAGAATAACTAAATAGACCACCATATTTTATGTATACCAGGCAAGTCACTACATAAAACCCAAATGGCAATGGACTTCCAGTCAGATCACAATACATTTACCATGCTAGCCTCACATTGGCCAAGTCCATTGCATCACCTTATGCTTTCTACCTTTTATGTAAGGGCAGTCACGCATCAATAAAAATAATAAATAAAATTAACACCCCACACACTAACAACAAAAAATTACAATAAAAACAAATAAACAAAAGCAAACAAAACTAAGAAACCCAAACCACAAAGAATTAAGGGTGGAGAAGAACCATATGATATTTTCAAGCCCTGCAATAGGAATGAAGAAAAGATTTTTGATTATTCAAAAATAGAAACTCATTGAAATGAATCAAAGATTGGAATGGTAGAACAGCATTATAAAGAACATACAGAAAATAGAGCAGAGAAGCAATTACTTCACATGCAGAACAATCATTAAATAGTTCAAACCCATGCCAAGTAACCCATTGGAAAGATGTCCTATGTAACACAAACATAAAACAGATCCAGGAAAGTCAGGTGAGATTTGAAGGGCAAGTATAAAGTTTTCTTTGCCAGTTCACACATCCCTCCTTCCTCACTTCATTCCCCACTTCTCAATCACATTCTGTCTCTTCCTCAAGTGACAAATACAATAACAATTGAACCAAATTTATAATATGATCTGAACAACGCTAACTTTTTCTGAAAGCTGGTTTTTCACAGTTGTTTTCAAAATAGGCACTTTCACTAGTTGAGCTTTATGGTCCTTCAAAACCTGATTATAGTAGCATACCTAGAGCCTCAGAAGTCCATTTTGCTGCTGAAGAAAAGCAGCAAGAATCTATCATGTCTTCAACTAAGCACCACTTGCTTAGTTTTTTCAGAGAAGACATTGGGACTGTCCCAAGTTGGACACAGCTGGTTTCAGCCATCTCCACAACAGACCCACTGACCGCTGGAGATGGGGGGAAGGAAGTGCGTACAGAAGTCAGGAGTGAAGGAGTAGATTTGAGTTAGGGAAAGAGTTATCTTTATCTTGACCCACAAGCATTTGTTCCCATTTTTTCTCCACATTTTCTTCCCCCAGCCTGCAGATGGGGGGATGAAATGAGTGGGTTGAGTAGGAGCCTGGCTGGTGGCTAAGACTAACCCACTGCAGTGGGGAAACCCTTATGCAGGGTGATTTTACATTCCAATCAGTCATCTGAAGGGCATACTGTCCTCGAAAAGCCTTTAATCTCTCCAAAAGTCACATGAAAGGCAAGCAGGTAATACCACGATGGTGCCCCGTAAGTGCAATTACTACTGGCAACATTAATACCAGCAATGACATTTTCGTTTTATTGGACTCAGATGAAGGTGAGAGTTTCTGCTTACTGTTCCTATCACCTACATATACTACTGGCAACCTAGACCTCTTTCCAAGAGAAAAGCACTGTCAACACTTCGAAATGGAATCCTCAGGCAATAGATAAAAGCGACCATCGACCACAGAACAAAGCAGTAAAAAAAAATCCTCACCTGTAACTTTATGTTCTAGAAGTCAGTCTGGACTCTCGTTATTTCAGATACAGAGAGGTTACCCCATCAGATTTCTACACTCAGAGGCATGATAAAAAAAGGGTTATTTGTATAGAAAGAAGATTCTTTTTCACCCCTAGAATGCCAGCTCCCTCTCCTGACTCACTTGAAATATTACATGTATCTCAGGTTCAAACACACAGCCAAGGAAACAAGGAGTAGCTAGGATGAGAAGAATAAAAGTCTATGCTGAGACTTCGTAACCTAAATGATTTCACTCAAAATATAATTTACAGTTCTGCATTCCCAGAGCAAGAGGTAGAATTTGATAAAGCTAACTATGGGTGTTGAAGTGGCAGTCACCTCTAAGAGACAATACCATCAAACACAACACATAACATTATGCTTTATGCTTCCATTGCCTGTTGCCTTGCTGCACAAATCATGGTGGGGTAGAGGTGCCATGGAGAGCTAGAGAAAATTTTAGGTAATGACTTTAAATTGTATTTGAGAAATAACACAGAAGACCAGAATAAGCTAAGTTTACCTAAAAGAGAATAAGGAGAAAGAGGCAAGTGCTATCAGAAGAGAATCCCAGAAGAATTTAGCAAAGGATCTTCATTTTCTTATGCTAATAACAGTACCAAAGTTTCAAATGACATCCTTGCTTTCTTATACATCTGCATTTGAATGGTCCATGAGTAGAAAAGGTTTTAAATGGAAGCAATTGAACAAACAGCATTTTCCATACAGACAGTCTTTCGTATACAATTCACATGTATGTGTGCCCAACTCAACTCTTGCCAATTTTTTAAACTTGTTTTTAAATAGGACATGTTTTGACTGTCTACAATAAAACGGTTTACCCATAAGGCTTTACTGGCAACCTTGCTTCAGCACAGATGTAGTTCAGACCAGCAGTAATGCCCAGTCAAACACATGAGCAACACAAGCCAGAAGTACTTCACATAAATTAAGGCTGCAGGGTTCCCACTGTCCCAGCCAGACAAGTCACAGGTTGTGTTTCTGGCTCTTACCCAAGAGGTCTGTTAGGGCAGCTGTACAGCTAAATACCTTGTAAAGAACTGGCTACAGAGGGAAAGTTACATCAGTTTAACATCACTACTAACTTAAGCTAACAGTGCTTTTAAACCCTCTCCCCACAAACATTCACTTGGGCCACACTCCACAGCCTGGTATGGGGCCTGGTATGCCAAAAGCTGAACACTGGTATTGGGGCAAGGAGGAGGCCACAAAGCTGTGTTGTGGCTGGTAGGCAAAACCTAGGATGGCTGCTCTAAGAATTGGTATCTTACACAACGCCTTATAGATCATGTCTTTTGAGTGTATAGAACAAGATCCTCACCACCATCACCTGCTGACCTGTAAAAGCAAAAAGGTGCAGATTCCTTCAGTAATAATATCACGTCACGTAATGTTGCATAAATTTACTTTTATGTGTGTCTGGATAAAACAAAGTGCTTCCTTAGAAGCAAAATATTCCACACTGTTTACACCCATGTAATTCACATTCAATTATTTCTATGTCTATTTATTTTTTTACTTAAATAATACATACTATTTGTGGCATTTTTAATAGCAGAAAATTAATTCTGCATGCATGCTAACATTATTATTAATCATCTACATTAATTATCTTATAATGTGCTAAACCTTCCATACAAATGGTATTTATTATTAATCACCCTGACAGTTATGGCCAGTAAAAGCAAGTTCAAAGATTTGAAATATAGAAGCAGTGACCAAAAAGGAGTTTAGAACCTGAGGACAAAGCTCTAAGGTGGTCTTTCCTCAGAAGCTCTATTGATTTAAAATGCAAAGAAACTTTTTAAAGTTATTTATTCAGACAGTCAACTGACTTCAGCACTCTTCACTCTTTGTTCTTTCATACACTAAGTCATAGGACCTCTCCAAAGAATCAACCCCAATAATTTGCTTCTCTTTGAAGAGAACCAGAAATCCAGAGATTCAGAAAAGTCGGTAAAAGCTCTTAAACTATAGCTTTTTAATCAGCAGCTTTAAAAACAGAGGAAGACCAAGAAAGTCTGCCATCAAAAATATTTCATCTAGTGGGCAGCCAGGAAGACATAATTCTTTTTAAACACCAACATAATTAGCCAAGTATATGCAATTAATGATAATCATTACAAATCACATTTCTTTCTAGAAAGACAGAATATGCAAGAGGAAAACCCATGTGTTTTTTATTTAAAAACCTCAGTAGAATAATCAAAAAATAGTTAGAATAAACAGTTCAAGCTTATAGAAATCACCTCTCTTCGATGATGCTACTGCTCAGTTAGAATTAATGGTAGACCTAAGTTTATAATAAAGTACAGCACTCTAATCTTCTCATTGCTGCAAAAGAATTACATGAGACAAGATAAATTCTCATCATGCTATAGAATTCAGCTTCTTGCTGTTATAAATGTTCAGATCTGAAGGACAAATGGACACCTTTCAGTACTGAAATATGCATGGCAGCACAAAATTCTGTTTATCTTTATTCTAAAGAATGAACAAGGACTGATGTGTCTAGGGTTTTTTTTTAAATGAATAAAGTTAGAAGTTCTGAGTGTTAATATGAGGAGCAGAAACACTGGATTTTAGCCAAAAATTATTTCTTACATTTCATGCCAATCAACAGATCATCCAATCCCGTTAAGAGGGTGAGAAGATAAAAGCAGTGATTATTAGCAAAACCTCTGACCTCAGAGTCATGATGCAGAAATGCACAGTATTAATCAGAATCTGGAAAAATGACTTTTTCAAAAAAGACAGACAAGAAGAACCACAAATTCACATAAGTGTCAGGCTTCTCTGTCAGGTTCCCTGCAAGTTGCAATTTTTGCTGCCTACTTGGAGAGAATATTGTGTGCTAGCACTTCCTCCAGATGTACTTTAAAAGAGCGTTCAGAATTTTTAAGGCAAAAATACAGATGAAAACAGATTAGCAAAGGTAAATGCTACATGTACATACATTCCTGAGAGTATAGATTAGCAGTAGTTAGAAAGCTGCCCCACATATGGTTTGATTTGAAAATCTTATTGCAGCAGGCTGCAGTTTTTAGTAATTTGCAGGAAGGTTTGAGTTTTGTCCTTCACTTTGAGGGTTGGCTGCCCAGCCTGCGCCATCACTAAACGGATTCTGGAAATTTACATGTCAAGGGAAATAGAATCCAAAAGACTATAATGGAAATTAAGTCCAAGCACCATAAAGGAGTAAAAGAATAAAGTATCAGCTTTTCAGCTGGCTTATTTATACCTGTGTATTAACAACACCTCAATAGGACAAACATAGGGAAACTTTGCCACAGGGACTACCATAGATTCAGCAGAACTCATGAAGCTGGTGACACTCCCAGTTAACTGTGACAAGTTAATGGGACATTCCTTGTGGCTGTTTCTTTTCACCTGCACATTTTACCTCAACAGCAGTTTTGCTATGCTTGACAACTTTTGCAAAAATTTTTTTCTCAGAGTCTAAATCTCAAGACAGATTAGACCAAACATTCCAAATTGGCCAGTCACACACGGCTGAACTGCTACCATCTCAGTTGTCTAAAATAAC